CTTATTTAGAAATACATTAATAATTCAATAAATTATACAAAACTAGCTTTTAAACAGATAAAATAAATATAGTTACTTTAAAATTAATTGATAAATCACAGTTAGAATTAATTTTAACCTTTTTCTCGTAGCATCGAAGGGATTTTATAAAAGCCTCATTCTCATTCTTTTCTTCTAAGCTTCATTTAATACCCTAATTTTTATCAGTGCCAAGGAAGATGTTTTAACGCCCGGAGCGATACTGAAAACTGCGCCTTTAACTCAATTTTGGAAAAAGAAACTGGGTTAAAAAAATAATAATAGCTTATTTTTCCCCTTGTTATTGTCTCACTGAATTAAAATTACTCATAAAATTGCTTTTTATATTTTAAATTAGAATATTTTTAACATAAAATTATATTATCTATATCAACCGTAAATGTTAATTTCAAGAGACATATGAGTAAGATAAATATTAATTAACGATTTTAAGGTTTAAAAAAAGCCTTTAATTAATGAGAATATCACTTCAAGTATTCTAGGATAAATATCTATTATAAGTAATATTTTTAATATGCATAAATTTCTTTATATTCTTTAATTTATCCACAAGTTTGGAAAATATATTTTATGTTGTGTACCTTACCAGATTTAATGAACATTATGAGGGGGAAAAAACTTAACACTTTAAATAACTTTTGATTGAATGATCAGATTTTAACGTTCTAAGACTCTGGTTCGAGGGGGCGATCTCAAATATGCTAATTAGTTAGTGCAGGCGATATTTTTAAGCTACAAAATCAAACGCAAAAACGTACTGACTCTGAAAAAAAAACATACCTTTTTTGCGACAAATTATGGTGATTATGATTCCGACCACAAAAATATAAGTGTAGCCGCAATCTGGGAAATATAGTCCCAACTCTTTGGTAAGAAAAACGGTCGAATGTTTGGTTAATTTTACATAATGTTAATTTTACTGTTAGCGTATTTCGCAATCGAACTTTTAATTCGAATTCTAAAAATAATAAAAAAATTCACACAATTATAAAATTTAATAATTCAGAGATAATTTAATGTAAAAAAATATCAATTGCTTATTATTATTTTTATTTAATGATAGTTAAAATAATTTTGAATTGTGAGGTATAAAAATTTTTACAGCATTTTTAAAAAAATTGATTTTATATGGAAAAATTTAAAATTTGAGTAAAATTGGTAGTTCCTCTGAAATCGAATTTTAAATATCTGACTTTTTATAAAATTCGATTTCGGAGAAAATTCCTCAAAAGTTTTTATTGGAAAAAAAAAGCCAAATATTACAAAATAATACTTGCAAATCGAGAGAAAGCGTTAAAAAAAAAATCATTCATGAAATTCTCCTTTTATTTTTCTTTAAAAAGTAAATTTAAGTAAAACAACAACAAAATTCTAATCTCTTACATAAATTCCACTGATGTTTCATTCAAAAAAAAATCTTGCCAATTTTTATAAAACTAACGTGGCATAACACACTAAACTGAAAATGATGAATCTATGACTTTATGAAAAGAAACTTCCACATGAACGTTCTCTGAGGTAACCAAGAGCATATTGTAAAAAGCCTGATGCCTTATTTAGAAATACATGCTTGAAACTCAAAATTTAGTTTAGCTAAACTATGGAGAGAAAAAATTCTAAAATGTAATTGTTAGAGTAAGGGCTGTTGGGGAGAATGATGAAAACTATGTAGGAAGCAAAGATATTTGTGCTAAGTGGCTAGCTAAACATCTATGGCATTCTAAAAGATCATTTGTAGGATTTGTTACTTACATCAAAGAACACTGCTTATCAAGTTTGTTTGATGTAGTAATAATTTTATTAAAAAAAATAACTCACATTGAATGTATTTTTCCCATTTTAAAATACTTACATTAAAGTTGGAATAATATGAAAAAATGAAATAAAAATATGGGGATCCTATCATTAAGTTAAAAGCCAAACTACTTAGAAAAAATTAAAAAAAAATTTTTATGTAGTTTGGTGCTGGGCCCTTCGCAAGTTGGAGACCCTGGGCACGTGCCCCGAATGCCCTCCGGTAAATCAGTCGCTGGGTCTCGTTCAGCGCCCCCGTAACCTACCGCTCCGGGTGATCACCCGCCTTCTTCGTCTCTTCTACCAGCCCTGGCAATTACAATTTAATTACTCTAAATAAAACAGTAATTTAAACTTTGCAAGACGCGTTGTTCATAATTTTATTTGTGTTTTCTACTTAAAATGAATTTTCGTAAATATGATGAATAGGCTAGCGGAATATGCTGATTGATGAAAATTTTTGAGAGGCCACAGCGATTATCCTGCCCCTGCATTTGCGAGTTATAAAATTAAATATTCATAATACGAAATTTAATCTTGCTTAATTAACACAACAGATTTTTCTTTAAACTAAATGAAGAATGGGTAATTTAAGTATCAAAATACGAGTTAGAAACAAAATTATTTACAGATAAAAAAAAAGGAAAATTAGAGATTTCCGTATCTTGATCTGTGACAGACTGGCAGAATGATCGCCAAGTCTTGGCTACTTCCGGGCAGCAGCCCGCGAGTAATTAAAAAAAACATCATAGAAAGGGACCAACTCGAAAGGTATAACTCGTAACCACCCCCGGGCAAACATCTACATGTTTTTTGTTTAAAAAAAAAATTTACAAAAAAAGTTTAAAATCTATTTGGCACCTTGGCGATTGTAGTTGGCGCAACAGATCATGATACGGAAATATCTATGAAATATCCCACTTAGAAAGAAAAATATATTAAGCTGTACTTACTAGAAAAGTTTCAAGAACTTAAGTTATTCTTGTTGAACTAATTTCTTAACTTCATTTAATTACAACTCCCTCTTAATATAGGTTATCGACCGAAAGTGAAACTCCGATATCCATCCAACGGATATAGTTATTAAACTTCCGTTTTGTGTTTTTATTTTATTTGTATTTTTGTAACGAAAACGATATTCATTTCCTATTGGTAGACATGTTCACCCAAGCCCGCCAGTTTAAGGTTGACCTTGGCGAACTTTCTGAAAGAGGCGAAAAGGCGCTAACTGGAGGAGAAAACGAAAAAACAAATTTTTTTTATATAGAATAGATAACCGTCTCCCCGCCATACCGTTGACTCATAGATAAAAAAAAATGGAGAGAAAATTTTTTAGAAATTATAAGTTCTATCTTTTCTCAACGTAAATAAATTACATATGCTGTGATGTTATGTTACGTATGTTTTTCATCAAGTTTTCGACACCGGAATGTGTATTTTATAAAAATTCATATTAGTTTTATAAATGGAAGCTTCATTTTTTAGTTTTTTCTTATCATTTAATAATATTATGTTATTTTATGAAAATAAGAATAGCTTGAACTGAAAACGCAACAGAGAATTACAGCTTTTTCGTAATTTGTTTAATAGTTATCATGGTTTTCCTTTTACACTGTACCAATAAGGAAAAAACCGTTGGCGTATTAAAAACACGTAAATAATAAATATTAATACGAAATAATCACTATGGTGGACATAGAACAGGATTTTTAAAAAGTGCTTATTTTCGTTTTTTAAAAGAACCTAAAAGGTGCTTTTTTCATTGGGTGTTTTTAAAAAGTGCTTAATTTTCCCTTTTCCAAATTGAGATATTTCGTTTGCCATGTTAATTTTCGCTACGAATTATGAGGAAAGACACTGTTTACATTGTTCTATTCAACGTTTTCACAATTAATTTAACCCCAATCTATTTCGGCGCATCGTCAGTCTGTAGCGTATGAAAACGCCATTCGATTAACATGATTCAAAATTTTAACAATTGTCAAAAACAATTCCAGAAGGGTTTTTTTTTATTGACATGACATGACGGTTAAAACTGTCAATTGTCAAAAACTTTCCAACCCTACCTAATTATGATATTTTTTTAAAGTACTTAAAATTAGTATCAGAGTGCTTGAAAAGTGCTTATTTTTTGTTGAATAATTTTGCTACGCATCCTGTAGAATGATGTTTGGCAAATAAATATGCTATAGTGGCGAACAAAGAGATTGGACAATTTTTTTTTCCGTTCACTTTCTTGTGCTACTTTTCTAGCCTCAACTTATATTGAGGGCGATAAATGTCTATTCCATGCATTTACTGATATGTGACAAAAATGATTGAATCATAAGCAAATATTACTTACTTTTTTTTTTTAAATTAAGTTTTGTTTTTAAATTATTTTGTTTTTAATTTTAAATTATTTTAAATCCTTGTACCAGCATAACTCGGATGACCGAATACGAGCCAAAAAAAAACACTTATCAACCTTATTAGTATGGAAAGAACAGTTGCTAACGTAAACAAATGCCACATTTCAACAACAAATCAGGATCGAGATACACGCACTACGTCACTCGCAGGTATCTCAGTACCTTAATATCAAAATTGTCTGTTTACCAAAATTAACTAAGCAACATTGGCGTCAATAATAGAAACGAATAAGTTCTATTTCTTCATTAAAATTTCATTTTCGGTTCAAAAATTTTTTTAAATTTCATTTATAGTTGATATTAAATTATTTAGCCCAATAGAAATACCCTTTCAAAGCAGAACTACAAACAGGATAAATTTAGAAATACTAATTTAGAAACGCCGTTTATGCTACAACGTACAAGTTGATCATCAAGTTTAGTTGCCATAAGAAATAATTAAATATTAAAGAACGTGCTATAATTTCTTTTATTTGATTAATGTGAGCTAAAAAATTAGAAAACGTTACTGATGTTATCGTTTAAATATTTGAGAAGTAAAAAAACAGAATCATCTCAATTTTATTTTTTACCAATAAATAGTTCTGACCAAAAAGAAAATTGCATTTTTCACACGTCTCTCTCAAACGATCTAATTGAAATTTTTGGACGAGTTATAGTATTGGGGTATGCTGTCCAAATTTCAGGATGAAAGAAAAAAGGTTATGGAGTAATAAAAGAGACAGACACACAGACAAGCTGTCCAGGAAGGTAAGGGATGGAACAGATAGGAAAAATTATAGCTAGTTTCTTTTACAATCGGAAAAAAATTCAAGAGGAATTAGGCTTAATAAAATAAGGAAGAAATGGGAGAAACCTTTTTTTTTATTCAAAATGAAATATCTATGATTAAAACAGTTTATAATTGCACTCTAGTTTAAATAACAGCATTAATTTTCAAGCTATTTAGTATATCATTCTGTAATAAGCGAAAACGATGAAGTCACAATTGGAAGAAAAAATTATTTATTACGGAATTAATAGCTAATTTTACAATATTTTAATTAAATGAGTGAAGTAAAACCTAATTTTATAACTATAGAAAAAATTGTTAAAATTGCATAATCAGAAAAAAATTTTTAAAATAGCTTTCAAATTTTATTAATACTACTAAATTAGCAAATCGCATACTAAACACATTCTACACTGCAATAAAAACACATATTAAATTTACAATTACAGTTGGCATACTAGTTTTTGTTGTCATTCCCTGGGAAGGATAGCTACGAAGTCTTTTTCTTTTTATACCGCCAGATGGCGTTCTTTTTAAATTTGAATGTGTTCGTTTGCTTTTTGTTAATAAACTTTACTTTCTGTCTGAATCTCGATCCACGGACTACAGTTTTCTTTAATTAAATATTGTTAAGTATTAATACTCAAACCGAACGTTAAATAATAAGATTGATTCTTGAAATTCAGTATAAGTTTTTTTTTTCTTTTGGAACAAAAGTAGAAGTAAAAAGATTTTAACTTTCTCATATAATATTAGCTTAATTTGTTTAAATTTAAGCATCTCTTTTAACACTTCTAAACAATTTTATTGATATTTTTAAGTTTTTTTCTTCTTCATTTTATCCGGTTTCTTCTATTTTATCCAGCTTCTTCCGAACAAAATGTCATCCCTGAAATAGTACATGAATTATAATTATTGTGATTTCTAATAAAATTTGTAATTGGATTTTACAATTCAACAGATTAAAATAATAGGCTAGGATATGATATTTGTTTAGAAGTGAATCTGAAATTCCAATCAGAATATCAAATGTAAAATATTAATGTTAACTTCAAAACTAATTTTTTGAAGTAAATTTTATTTTGTTTAAGTCTACACAAGGCGTTATATGAGAGCTGAACACAAAAATTCAAGCAAATCGAATCGATTGCACAGAAATATCACTTTCAATGTAGAGAGTGTCGAAGCGAGAAAGGGGCCTCAAGCGGTGCCTGAACTCGATGAAGTGTTGCCCATTCACTGCAACCATGTACTGGTTCTTGGTGACACGTATTATCATGTCGAAACGGCTGTTGGAAATGAAAGGAAAGGATGGAGACTGTTTTTCTTCGTGATGCCAAGAGTTGTTTGTGCGTGTGTTTCTAACAATTGTTTGGTTAAAGAAACGCACATCAAAGTGAAATGCTATGTCCGGAGGATTGTAGGGCTGTGTTCCTGCCTGTAGATTGATTGTGAATCTGAAAAACAGGAAAAACAATGTTTCTCTGTAGTCACGCAATTCAAACACAATTTCAATACATAAGTTTTTTTTACCTCGTATAAGGCCAAGGGAAATATACATCCCATCGATTTCTTTAATTTTTAACAACTTATATAGAGGGTGTCCTAGCAATATTTGGGGAAAACTTTAAGGGGAGGTAGGGGACATCACGAGGATTCAGAATTGCATACCAACCCATGGTCGGTAACGCCATGGGAAAAATGTAAGACAGTTACAAGAAGCAAAGAGACACAAGACTGAGATCATCTGAAATATTTGTTGTCAAAGTTATTACGTGTGCTGTGGTTGATGATATATCATCAACCACAGCACACGTAAGATGTTCCAAGCTTCTACTATTGCTAACGATACATGCGTTACACCGTCCGGCAATGGTAGACTCGCTCGAATACACCGGGAATTTTTGGAGCAAAGACGATACTTGCAACCAAATCCATTTCGGAATCCGTAATTGTTGAGCGCACCGAACTTTTTTGTGCACATCTTAAAAAGAAATCCATACTGCTTAAATTAGGAGAGTGTGGTAACAACCTCGCCCAATCCATCTTGTGAACATCACTGAGAGGGAAACGAAAAATGTTTCCGACCATAGGTTGCTGTGCAAATGACTTCCCCTTAAAGTTTATTCCAATAACCCAAGGACGAACCGTGGTGGCTCAGGGGATAGAGCATTCGCCACCCAATGAGGTGAACCTGATTCGAATTCCAGCGATATCTGGTCGATACGAATTCCGTAACCGGCTTGCACCGACCACAGTGCTGACGTGATATATCCTCAATGGTAGACGGATCATGGGTTAGAGTCCCCTTGCTGTCAGGCTAACCATGGGATGTTTTCCTCTCCACGTAACTCAAATGCCAGTTACTCCCATCAATAAGTTCTCCTCGAAGGCAAATTTCTCCCAATACTTGATCCAGGAGTTCCCTAGTCTTCTGGATTGCGTTCAAAATTACAAGGCTGCGGAGTTGAACATTGGTAGTCGTAAACCCAAAATTGGGTTCAACGACGGTTATAAAGTAAAATATTCCTATGACATCCAGTATGTAATCATGCGATTCTCCTTTCACGTTCGATGGTATCATATATAAAACTAGCTTTTTTTTTATTCTTTCTGCTAAAGATCACAAAGGCGTCATCTCAATACGGTTCTCTCGCATTACATCTCATTTTAATAAGTATACGTACTCTTCAGTACGTATACTCAGGGCTTTGGTAAGCGTTTCTTTCTCTTTTAGCCGGTGCTGAAGGGATTAAATGTCGATGGGAAGCTATTGTCCCACCAATTATATGTGCGATCATCAACCGGTAACTTCAGAAAATATATATGTATTAAATATCAGTGATGGGCTTTATTTGCATAAATGCAGAGTTGCCAACTTGCTCCAGACTGCGGATAAATATTTTCTATTGGTAGTGTTTAAATATATGATTTTGGTTTAGTAAATTTGATTTATAGGTTTTTTTTCTCTCCACTATATCTAAATAATTCAGAAGCTAGTCTGAAAC